ACCGAAATTTGCGTGATCTGTTTTTAAAATTTTCTTACATTTATCTGTTAAAATATCCTCGTTACATGAAACACTTGTATAAGACATTGCCGATTTTCTTCATGCATAATGCATGTACAGTATATGTATAAACAAACTGTCCATAGACCTCTGCGTCTCTGCACTTTAATAAAAATGTCTTAGAGGATGTTAACACCTCCCCCCCTCCCCAACTCCCTCTAGATAAAATAAATATAACAAATCATGTTTAAGCTGATTAAAAAGAGAAAGTAAAATTGTTGATATACAACTCGTTCTTTGTTTTAGACTATGCCTACATATAAAGTTGCCGCACTTCTGTCATGTAAGAATTTGTCAATCAGGATTGGATGAAACATTTACCCCCAATATTTACAAAATTTTGATTATATGATTATTGTGCTTTTAGTAAACATTTAAAAAATCTTTTTTCAATTTTCTATTAATATAAATGTTAAATATATTTATTTAAATTTTTCTAACTCCGCAGAAACGCACGGCCACTTGAAACTTTCATATCAACTAACAGACCGCCTCCTGGCGGCCGGTAAAAAGGTGGGACAAGCATATTTTTTGGTAGGACAGGTAGTTTTACGATAGTAACCTGTCCGAGGGCAAGTACTGCAAAATTGTATTTGTCTACCCCTGCCATGGGCCACATCGCTCAAATGAGCACTAAGGGTAGGAAAAAGTAGAAAATGGCTTTTTATTGTAAAGTTTAAATCCAAAAGTAGTCCCATGACCAATCATGGATTTGCTATTTTTTAGAAAATGATTTTTGAAGAATTTTCCTATATATATCTTTAAAAACTTTGGTCGGCCATTTTGGCCCCGCTCTACCCCTGGGGTCATGATTTGAACAAATTTGATTCTACACTACTTGAGCATGCTTCCATATAAATATGAGGAATTATGGCTTTGTCATTCTTGAGAAGAAGATGTTTAAAGAATTTTCCTATATATTTCTATGTAAAACTTTGGTCGGCCATTTTGGCCCCACGCTACACCCGGGGGGTCATGATTTGAACAAACTTGAATCTACACTACCTGAGCATGCTTCCATATAAATATGATGAATTATGGCTTTGTCATTCTTGAGAAGAAGATGTTTAAAGAATTTTCCTATATATTTCTATGTAAAACTTTGGTCGGCCATTTTGGCCCCCCTCGACCCCCAGGGGTCATGATTTGAACAAATTTAAATCTACACTACCTGAACATGCTTCCATATAAATATGATGAATTATGGCTTTGTCATTCTTGAGAAGAAGATTTTTAAAGAATTTTCCTATATATTTCTATGTAAAACTTTGGTCGGCCATTTTGGCCCCGCCCTACCCCGGGGGGTCATGATTTGAACAAACTTGAATCTACACTACCTGAACATGCTTCCATATAAATATAATGAATTATGGCTTTGTCATTCTTGAGAAGAAGATTTTTAAAGAATTTTCCTATATATTTCTATGTAAAACTTTGGTCGGCCATTTTAGCCCCGCCCTTCCCCCAGGGGTCATGATTTGAACAAATCTGAATCTACTCTACCTGAGCATGATTCCCCATAAGTTTCATCTTTCCTGGCACAGTGGTTCTTGAGAAGAAGATTTTTTAAAATATGCCACTAAATTTTCATTAGTTCCCAATTATCTCCCTTTGAATGAGCGCGTGGCTCTTCATTTGAACAAACTTGAATCCCCTTCACCCAAAGATACTTTGTGGCAAGTTTGGTTGAAATTGGCCCAGCGGTTCTTGAGAAGAAGTCGAAAATGTGAAAAGTTTACAGACAGACAGACAGACGGACAGACAGACAGACAGACAGACAGACAGACAGACAGACAGACAGACAGACGGACGCCGGACAAAATGTGATCAGAAAAGCTCACTTGAGCCTTCGGCTCAGGTGAGCTAAAAAACATAAAAAGAGAGAAGGATTAAGCAGAATTATAAAGCACACAACATGGATAGTCCGACACAGACACACATATAGTAAAAACAATGACACAACACAAAAGATACTTACAGTAATTATCAGTTGGTGCACAGAGCAAAGAAGTAATACTTACATTCATATACCATACATTACCAAGCTTAAGGATGACACACAACTCTGGAAAATCACAAAAGGTTTTGAAACATAAATTAAAAAAAACATATTATATACATTTTATATGACACAAAATGGTCAACAATTTTAGCAACAACAGACTTGGTGCGGTAACTCGGACCTTTCCATCAGCATTCTTTTCTCCTATAATATTTTCAATACCCTCTGCACCACCTCTCTGAAAAGCAAGCTTCAAATGATTGTAGTTCAAACCAATGTGCTAGACCTTTTTCAACATGTAATCAGATATGCAATGCTGCAAAGGGTGCAATGAGATCAAACATTCATCTGACTTCAGCTTAAAATCAATTGAATTCTGTACAAAATTTACATCAAAACTATGTTTAAAGAGAGTGTCTTCAGTCAATTTGTGATGGTTCACTAATGCCTGTAGAATCTTAACATCTTCTGTTGCTAGATGTGGCCCATAAGTACATCTCCCTGGCAAAATTTCTTTAAATCATGTAAACTATCAATAAATCCACTAATAGTTTCTTTTAAAACTCCACACTCTGGATGTTTTAAGAAAGCTTTCACAAGAATGGCTGAATTAAAGCATTTCCCAATATGGCATATAAGTAATGGATTTTCAAATGATTTCAACCAATTAAGAAATTCGCACAAACATTTCTCAATGTCAATAGCAACAACTGGATTTTTCTTATGAAACAACTTTCCACTTGCTACATGCAAACCAGTCACCGCTGTCGCCTTTGGATGAATAGGTGCATCTGGTAGAACGTACCTGTGAAAGATGTTATCCTTGCAGACACAAGCAAGTTCCACTATGCTGGATTCTGTGCCTGAAGAATATTTATTATAAAGTATTTAATTATACAATGATTGATATAAGCTATAAGGATTACATTGCTCACTATAAGAAATGGTAAATAAATACCTTTGTGTAATACTCACACATAAAGAAATAAAAGTTTATGATAATAAAAATTAACATCTGATGAACAGTAAAACTATCTTATAAAGGTGATGATACCTAAACCAGTTGTCTCTAAATCGAAGTAGAGGAAAGTACTTTTAGGCTCCTGTACAACGTGAGCACTACAAGTTGGTGGTATCTCTTCAGTCAACAGTTCGGAGGTTTCATTTTAGGTCAACAACAGGCTGATATGTAGCTCCTTCTTTAATCTCTGATGTTGAAACTTGAATAGAAGAAGAAATATCAAAGCCCTCTCTTAAACTCAATTACAAATCCTGAACTGATCAAAGATGCTGAAATATACCTGTTAAGTCATTGTAGATTTAAGCTCTCTGCGTCTTTTTTTGTACTTAATGCTCTGTTTCTGATGTCTGTGTTACTCTCTCTTCAAGTTCTCTTTCTCTATGTAACGAGCAGTGTTTTCTCCGGGTGACAAAAGCAAATTCTCGTACACCTTTAAATGACTAAAAACTACATACTGAAAACAGACACAATTCCATTTTGTATGAAAGTATGCAAATGTCACCGGGTTCACAGGTGCGTGAAAGTCAGTCAATATATCGGGTCTCAATAGCTCAGTTGGTTAGAGCGCTGGCACGTTACGCCAGAGGCCCTGGGTTCGAGTCCCGGTTGAGACTTGACTTTTCACCACCTGTGACATTTGGCGCCCAACGTACAAAACCCACTATTTCCTTGGAACATGCCTCACAGCATTTCCTTAACTCGTAGAATTCGAGGACGAATTTCTACAAAGAGGGGGAATATGTCACCGGGTTCACAGGTGCGTGAAAGTCAGTCAATATATCGGGTCTCAATAGCTCAGTTGGTTAGAGCGCTGGCACGGTACGCCAGAGGCCCTGGGTTCGAGTCCCGGTTGAGACTTGACTTTTCACCACCTGTGACACAAATATAACTCAATATATGCAAAAATTTTTAATTTTTACTTGTATACTTAATCAAAATAAACAACATACCTTCTGATATAAAACCTGCTCCATCATTTATCTGGGCTACAGCTGAAGACACCCTGAAATCTGTACTTTCTGAACCACCATAAAAATGAGATTTTGGATTTTTCGAGGCCACAGTCCTGTTAAAACTCTCATTGTTCTGAGTGCTTCCAATGTTCACAAGTTTGTCACTGATTTTTGAGAATGTTCCAAATACATGTTTTAAGTCTTGGAGAAGTTTGTCACCATTTAGGTATCGACCGTATAGTAGATTCTTTGGACGGTATTCTTCTGGGTTTTCTTTATACTTGCACCATTCACCACAATTAGAATGATCACCAAACACATGACATGGGATTGAATCCAAGTTTTTCTTCAACTGTACAGGATCTGTATTATTAGTTACATAGTCTTTTAGTGACAGGGTATGGGATGATACCTGGTTAGTAAATTTCATACCTGGCGAGGCGGAGCCGAGTCAGGTATGAAATTTACTAACCAGGTATCATCCCATACCCTGTCACTAAATGACTATGTAACGAATTTACCCCACCGATGAAACATTTACGTTTTATCTGTAGTTTATAAATGGTTTTCTCTGCTAAATGCTTCATCGCGCTTATACTGTGCCTATTATGACGTCACGTTTGTGTTTGTGACGTAATACATCGACCGGGTATAGATTTACTGACCGGGTATGGATTTACAACTGACCGGGTATAAGTAATCCACCGCTTTCACGTGACAGACTTCAACCAATCGTAAGCCAGGATTTCACGGAAAAATCAACAGAGGTGGGGTAATAGATTTTACAACATATGCAAAACATTTTGTCAAATGTTTGATAGCTTTAGGACCCAGTAAGGCATATTTCTTTTCTTTCTTGAGTTGGTACAACTTATTAGTGAAGTTCTTTTTTGTGTGATTAATAGCCATTCTCTGTAACCACTTGAACTTCGTTGCCACGCATGGTCACCGATTTTGATGAAACTTCACCCATGCATAGTACTTGACACCAGAAACAAATATCAAACAAAATTTCGTTGCTAAGTGTCTTGGTTGCTATGGCAACAGCCGGAAAATTTGAAAAATCGAGATTTTCAGCCACTTTAAATCTTGACTGTGGCTTAATAAAAACTAGAAAAAGCAAACAAACCATTCTCACAAAAACATGACACCTTGATGTCACTTATACTGTAAAGAAACTGTTTAGAATATATCTCTAAGTAAGTGGTAACCAAGGGTACATTTGGAATACATTTAAAATGCTGAAAAACACTCCGTATTCACTAATGGTAGGTGTTACATGCTCAAACTCAATCAACGACTTAAGAAAAATAATGAAAATGTTTGACCTTAAGTATATAAGTGTAAGCAATATCATTCTATAAATAACTTTTATGGTTGCCATGGAAACACAGTGTAACCATGCAAAACCAGTAACTAAGATTGGGTTAATGCTACTTTCTTGAGGAAAAACATGAAAATTCAAGACTGGCAAATATGCATCCTTAGGACCTTGCATCACCAAATACATGAGAAAAATTGGGTATAATTGCTACTTTGCATTGTTACCATGGAAACAAAGTACCAGTGCTTAAAAGTGAATTATTTTTCGCTGCATTAAGAATTAAATTGCCATATAATCAAGGAACAAATTAAAGGACTCAGCTTGAATAGTACTTATCTGTTAGAACTGAAGTTGAATATCATATATTGATAAAATTTGATGAAGAATACAACACTGTTGCTATGGTTACCAAGAAGGGAAAATGTTCGATTTTGTGAACTTTATATCAATATTAAATCCTGTGTGCCAACTTCTTGCATCCACTTAGAGATTGGATGATAGTCAAAATTAAAAGTCAGGTTAGCTGTTAATAAATATCAATCATAAAAGTTTTGGGAATCTACATTTAAGGGTACGTATCCAAGGAAAGAAAATATTTTTCAGGTTTTTAAGCATATATTTTCTGCTTATTTCCATAGCAACTCTCTATTTAAAGAATCTAATCTGAATTTTTTCAAATGGGAAAACTAGGAGCACACCAACATCTTTAAAAATTGATCATTAGTTATGGGGAAATGTGCTTTTTTAAAAGATAGGATCAGATTTAAAAATACAGAGTGTTACTTTGAAGGCTCTATATGGTATAAAAACCTTGGCAACCATTGCCAACCAATATGAAATATCATATTTTGTTCTTGGTATATGTTTCAAGGCTCTTTTTTCTATTATTTGGTCACATTTCATCCTATAATTGTTTTTTTATTTTTACAGACCTGTTTACCCATATCGTTGTCTCTCAGTATTTTTGATTAGATTTGTCCGTGAGATTTGGCATTTGCCAGTAAGATTTCACTTTCCATCAATTTGACATATATAAATGGAGAACAACTGCTTGCCTTGCCTGATTACTAAAACATGGTTTAATAACATGGCTATGGTCATTTTATATCACGGCATTTTGGCAAACCAACGTAACTGTGTTTGAAATCTTTTATACGCGATTAAATAGGGTGAAACTGGGACAGGTCATAACGAAAACTAACTTCTCAATTGTAAACAAGTATATATTTCTTATTTCCGTATTTTTATGTAAACTAAACGTGAGACGTAATTTCGACTAAAAATCCGTACAAAATACGGCGAAATCGTAAGAGTAAACAGGTCTGTTTTTACGTGTATGAATTTATAAACTTCAATGAAATTTTTTTTTTTACTTTTGAATACTTTGTTACCATAGTAACGTATGTAATAGTTGATTTACCAAACATGTTTATTATGCATTTGAGACATCTGACCTTCAACTTTTGGAAACAGTCATTGCCAATTGTTTGCTTTGCCGCAAATGTTAACTATGGGGCTCCAAACATGTTAAAATATGCCATTTTTCGAACTTTAAGACATGTTGCCATGGTAACTATAAAGCATAGCAACCAATTTTTGCCTGATTTCAGTTTAGGGTATCAATGACTTTTATCATAGAGAGTTTAGAGAAATTCTGAGACTATTCGTGCCACAGCTCCTATATAAAATTACAAATCATTACAGAGTTTGGCTCTTAAAGTCTGAAAATTTATTGATATGGATCAAAAGGTGAACGCGCCTTGGATATTGTTGTCGTGTCATTATCCATAAGTAGGTTTTTAACATGAAACCCTTTTCCTTCAAATTATGTAACATTTCTACAGCCATGTCAGGCTCCATGGACTTGGATGATCCAGACCAATTTTTTCTACAATCGTGACTGCTGGTTGTGTCATTGCTGATATCCTGGTCACACTGTTTACATTTCTTGCATCGGACAGCATATGCGAGAACCTTCCCTGTGGTTGCACCAATCATACTTCCATGTCCTTCAATTCATAGAAAAGATGTGCTATGATTGATTTTACAAATACATTGATCAAATTTCATTTTTGACTTAACTCATTGTTTTGTAGGCAAATTATGTCATACAAAATGGATAAAAAAATTTACCCAATCTAATGATGTATTACACCTAAGATTAAATTATTTGGACATACCTGATAAGCTGGCATAGTTTCTTCCACTTCCCCGTGTTTGCCTGGTTAAGCATGATATGAAACACTTCTTCTTTACAGCTACAAATTACAAATGGAAATATATATGTATATTGATAATTGTATATACAAATGTATATTGTATATACATGTAATTACACATGACATTTCTTTCAGTTCTCGTTATAAGAAATTTATTTCAAGTACCCGTCTTTCTCTTTTTTAATGGCTTCCTGACATGTCATATCCGCTATTTCCTCAAATGCTGCACCAGCCTCTCTCTCTCTCTTCTTTAATGTTTTATGGTCAACATTGGGTAAGTTCAGTGCTGCCAAAAATCTGTTCACTGTTGTTTCTCCAATTCCAGTATATAAAACAGCTGATGAAATGTAAATGTTACAAATTTCAATTATTACAAACTATATTAAAGGTGATTTATTGTGACATGAATAGGCATTTTTTATTTTCATTAAATTTTCAAAAAATATTTTTCTGTTATATAGTGTTCACACATTGGGCACATTTTATTATAATATCTTAAAATATATTTCCTCATATTCAAATAGAGTTATATCTGTATCAGACCTGTTTACCCTTATCGTCATCTCTCAGTATTTTTGATCTAAGATTTGTCCGTGAGATTTAACATTTGCCAGTAAGATTTCGTTTTCCATTGGTTTTACGTATATAAATAGAAAACAACTGCTTTTTGATAACTAAAACATGGTTAAATAACATGTTCTTTGTCATTTTAAACCACAACATGTTTAACAACTCGAAATCACTAATGTGCTTGAAATCTTTTTTTTATTGAGATAACATGTAAAAGGCGTGAAACTGAGACAGATCAAAACGATGATTGATTGATTGTATAATGACTTTCTCAAGATTTTTTTAACCACCTGCCGGTGGAGAGCTGCAAATTTTGTCCATAACGCAGCACTTAAGGCCATCAAGCAGGGAAGGGTCTGTTTCGTGCTAGCACCTACTGCGGATGATATGGTCTGATCTGAAGGACCGGTATCCAGGTCGCACAAGTAGGATTCGAACCCTCAACGTAAGGAGCAAGTCCTTACTGCGCAGGCACTCTAACCAATGCGCCACGTGAGCGACCAGATCATAACGATTGACTGTCAATGATTGTTGTTGATTTCAGCGAAGTCGACATTCTATCAGCCATATTTCAACAGATCATAATGAAAACTAACTGCTATATATCCCAAACAAACGTATTTCCGTATTTTCATAACAGCAAAACGTGAGACGTATTTTGGATTATAAATCCGTAAAAAATACGGCGAAATCGTAAGAGTAAACAGGTCTGCTGTATCCATAAACAAGAGGCCCATGGGCCACATCGCTCACCTGAGAAGCTGTGACCATTCTGTTCTTTACCAGATTTTCCCCTTGTTATACATAATGCATACCCACCCTACCCCACTGATCATAATTTAGACATTTTGAAATCTACACTACCCCATGATCCTTCCATGGGCACATATGTTTCAGCTTTTTTGGCCCAGTGGTTCCCAAGAAGAAGATTTTCAAAGATTTTTCCTATATATTTCTATATAAAACTTTGATTCCCCATTGTGGCCCCGCCCTTCCCCCGGGGGTCATAATTTGAACAATTTAGAATCTACACTACACCAGGATGCTTCCACATAAGTTTCAGCTTTTCTGGCCCAGTGGTTCTTGAGAAGAAGATTTTCAAAGATTTTTCCTATATATTTCTATATAAAACTTTGATTCCCCATTGTGGCCCCGCCCTTCCCCCGGGGGTCATTATTTTAACAATTTAGAATCTACACTACACCAGGATGCTTCCACATAAGTTTCAGCTTTTCTGGCCCAGTGGTTCTTGAGAAGAAAATTTTCAAAGATTTTTCCTATATATTTCTATATAAAACTTTGATTCCCTATAATGGCCCTGCCCTTCCCCCGGGGGTCATGATTCCTAAAATTTAGAATTTACAATACCCCAGATTGCTTCCACATAAGTTTCACTTTTTCTGGCCCAGTGGTTCTTGAGAAGAAGATTTTCAAAGATTTTTCCTATATATTTCTATATAAAACTTTGATTCCCCATTGTGGCCCCGCCTTTCCCCCGGGGGTCATTTTTTGAACAATTTAGAATCTACATTATACCAGGATGCTTCCACATAAGTTTCAGCTTTTCTGGGTCAGTGGTTCTTGAGAAGAAGATTTTCAAAGATTTTCCCTATATATTTCTATGTAAAACTTTGATTCCCCATTGTGGCCCCGCCCTTCCCCTGGGGGTCATGATTTGAACAATTTAGAATCTACACTTCACCAGGATGCTTCCACATAAGTTTAAGCTTTTCTGGCCCAGTGGTTCTTGAGAAGAAGATTAATTTTCAAAGATTTTTCCTATATATTTCTATATAAAACTTTGATTCCCCATTGTGGCCCCACCCTCCCCCAGGGGGTCATTATTTGAACAATTTAGAATCTACATTATGCCAGGATGCTTCCACATAAGTTTCAGCTTTTCTGGCCCAGTGGTTCTTGAGAAGAAGATTTTCAAAGATTTTTCCTATATATTTCTATATAAAACTTTGATTCCCCATTGTGGCCCCGCCCTTCCCCCGGGGGTCATTATTTTAACAATTTAGAATCTACATTATACCAGGATGCTTCCACATAAGTTTCAGCTTTTCTGGCCCAGTGGTTCTTGAGAAGAAGATTTTCAAAGATTTTCCCTATATATTTCTATATAAAACTTTGATTCCCCATTGTGGCCCCGCCCTTCCCCTGGGGGTCATAATTTGAACAATTTAGAATCTACATTATACCAGGATGCTTCCACATAAGTTTCAGCTTTTCTGGCCCAGTGGTTCTTGAGAAAGAGATTTTCAAAGAATTTTCCTTTATATTTCTATATAAAACTTTGATTCCCCATTGTGGCCCCGCCCTTCCCCCGGGGGTCATGATTTGAACAATTTAGAATCTACACTACACCAGGATGCTTCCACATAAGTTTCAGCTTTTCTGGCCCAGTGGTTCTTGAGAAGAAGATTTTCAAAGAATTTTCCTACATATTTCTATATAAAACTTTGATTCCCCATTGTGGCCCCGCCCTTCCCCCGGGGGTCATTATTTGAACAATTTAGAATCTACATTATACTAGGATGCTTCCACATAAGTTTCAGCTTTTCTGGCTCAGTGGTTCTTGAGAAGAAGATTTTCAAAGATTTTCCCTATATATTTCTATATAAAACTTTGATTCCCCATTGTGGCCCCGCCCTTCCCCCGGGGGTCATTATTTTAACAATTTAGAATCTACATTATACCAGGATGCTTCCACATAAATTTCAGCTTTTCTGGCTCAGTGGTTCTTGAGAAGAAGATTTTCAAAGATTTTTCCTATATATTTCTATGTAAAACTTTGATTCCCCATTGTGGCCCCGCCCTTCCCCCGGGGGTCATGATTTGAACAATTTAAAATCTACACTACACCAGGATGCTTCCACATAAGTTTCACTTTTTCTGGCCCAGTGGTTCTTGAGAAGAAGATTTTCAAAGATTTTCCCTATATATTTCTATATAAAACTTTGATTCCCCATTGTGGCCCCGCCCTTCCCCCGGGGGTCATTATTTGAACAATTTAGAATCTACATTATACCAGGATGCTTCCACATAAGTTTCAGCTTTTCTGGCCCAGTGGTTCTTGAGAAGAAGATTTTCAAAGATTTTCCCTATATATTTCTATATAAAACTTTGATTCCCCATTGTGGCCCCGCCCTTCCCCTGGGGGTCATGGAGTGAACAATTTAGAATCTACACTACCCCAGGATGCTTCCACATAAGTTTCAGCTTTTCTGGCCAAGTGGTTCTTGAGAAGAAGATTTTCAAAGAATTTTCCTTTATATTTCTATATAAAACTTTGATTCCCCATTGTGGCCCCGCCCTTCCCCCGGGGGTCATGATTTGAACAATTTAGAATCTACACTACACCAGGATGCTTCCACATAAGTTTCAGATTTTCTGGCCTAGTGGTTCTTGAGAAGAAGATTTTCAAAGATTTTCCCTATATATTTCTATATAAAACTTTGATTCCCCATTGTGGCCCCGCCCTTCCCCCGGGGGTCATGATTTGAACAATTTAGAATCTACACTACCCCAGGATGCTTCCACATAAGTTTCAGCTTTACTGGCCCAGTGGTTCTTGAGAAGAAGATTTTTTAATGACCCAACCCTATTTTTGTCTTTTCTTGATTATCTCCCCTTGCGAGGGGATATGTCCCTTCATTTTAACAATTTAAATTCCCCTTCACCCAAGGATGCTTTGTACCAAGTTTGGTCAAAATTGGCCCATTGGTTCTTGAGAAGAAGTCGAAAATGTGAAAAGTTTACAGACGGACAGACAGACGGACAGACAGACAGACGGACAGACAGACAGACAGACGGACGGACGACGGACAAAATGTGATCAGAAAAGCTCACTTGAGCCTTCGGCTCAGGTGAGCTAAAAATATTAATATACATAATGTAATTACCAGCTCCCAGTTTTGAGTTTATATCCTGAACTCCATTTTGACGTCTCTTTCCAGTTGGAATTTTATTAAATTTTTGGCAAGCAAGACACTTGATGTGAAGCATACTGCCTACTCATAATAAGAAGAAAATAAGTATTTCGACAAATTAATGTATTTTAATGTAGCTGCAGATCTGTAGCTCTCCGAAAAATATATGATATTTATTGCGCACAAAAAACACAGTGAAATAAATCGAGAAGCGAGCACATGCACTTTTTTGTGTGCAATAAATATACAGTTTTTTCAATGGGTGGCATTGTAGCTCTCCGGTCTATCAATATATATTTTTTCAGACAGCTACAGATCTGCAGCTAATTTTAATGTAATGATATTGAAAATGTCACTCTTTATTTTATTTCACATTACCTAATCCATATCTTCCTTCTCCAATACATGATGAAAGTTGCAATTTCTCTCCACACATGATGCACCCTTTCTTCAGTTGATTGCCCAACACTTTCAACTCCACTATGTGTCTGCCAAAAAGATGTATTCCTGGGACGGATTCATCGGCATTGTCATCCAATAAATCACTTTCATTGTCAGATTCAAAGGCAGATATTGTGTCAGATTCAGAGAGTGTCTCTCTATCAGATGGATAATCACCATGATCACCCATGCCTCTCATTTGTGAACAGGCTGTAGCACTACCTGTTAAATAATTGAAGTAGCTATATAATATTATTGCACTTATAGGCGTGCTAAACATAACTTTTATACATGTCGCATTAATGTGTGTGCATCTCAGTTTTATCAACGATCTCGTTTTTGTTCGTGATCCCCAACATTGCAATACATTGGAAAATATAATATAAATTGTATACCTGACGTATATGCATGATCTAGATGAATATTACCATGCTGTACTTCTTCGTCGTGTCTTGGCTCCGCAAAAAACTTTCCATTTTCGTCGTGGATTTGCAACATTTTTTCTGTGCTTACACCTTTCAAGTCGGTCCCCTTTGTTTGCACATTTTTCATCTACATCGTTTTAAAGCTTATTTCAGCTCGATTATACGCCTTTCTTCAAACATTGTTGAGATTATGATCTTCTTAAGAGTTTTTCTTATCTCCATATAAGAGAGTTCTTTTAAACCGTGTCTGTACAAATTTTGACTCTTAAAAAGGCACTCAACCAAATCAAAACAATACTTCGAACAAAAGTACGTCATAGTACATGAACGTATCCCATTCTACCTTAGCCTTGGGTGACATTGTAGTCATATCCTGGTGCTGTCCTTATTGTTTTCTCCCTGACCTACTTTTTGAATTTTATGGCTCATCTTTTTCTAAAACATTCAATCCCATTATTTCAGATACTGAGAGGTTTAGAATCACCAAATCTTGTAAGTTGATGCATCTTCAGGCCTTAAAACATATTTATGAAAAAGTAGGTCACTGTGACCTACTTTTTGTATTTTCAGGCATTTGCTTTCAAATTGTTTAAAGTGCATATTTTGAATACTTTCAGACCTATGATCATCAAACTTTGTCAGTTGATGCATCTTGGTTTTGCGGAAAATGTCAACCAAAAGTAGGTCAAGGTGACCTACTTTTGACATTTTATGGCTATATTTAAGTATCTTAGGTACTTTTTGGCTTAGAATCATCAAACTTTGTCAGTTGATACAATTTGGATTTTCAGAACATGTCGATCAAAAAGTAGGTCACTGTGACCTAGTTTTGACATTTTATGGCTATATTTAAATATTCTTAGGTTCTTTTTGGCTTAGAATCATCAAATTTTTTCAGTTGATGCAACTTGGGTTTTCGGAACATGTCGACCAAAAAGTAGGTCACTGTGACCTACTTTTGACATTTTATGGCTTTATTTAGGTATCTTAGGTACTTTTTGGCTTAGAATTATCAAATTTTGTCAGTTGATGCAACTTGGGTTTTCTGAGAATGTCTACCAAAAAGTAGGTCACTGTGACCCTTTTTGAATTTTATAGCTATATTTAAGTATCCCTGGTGCTAATTGGCCTAGAATTGTCAAATGTTGTCAGTTGAGGTATCTTGGGTTTTTTGGAGAATGTCGACTAAAAAGTAGGTCGAAATGACCTACTTTTGATTATCTCAGGTACTTGTTGGATTAGAATCATCAAACATTGTCAGTTGATGCATCCTGGGTCCTCGGAAAATGTTGACCTAAAAGTAGGTCATGGTGACCTTTTTTTGACATTTTATGGCTTTATATAGGTATCTTAGGTACTTTTTGGCTTAGAATTATCAAACTTTGTCAGTTGATCCAACTTGGGTTTTCTGAGAATGTCTACCAAAAAGTAGGTCACTGTGACCTAGTTTTGACATTTTATGGCTATATTTAAGAATTTTAGGTACTTTTCAGCTTAGAATCATCAAACATTGTCAGTTGATGCATCTTGGATCCTTGGAAAATTTCTACCAAAAAGTAGGTTACGGTGACCTATTTTTGACATTTTATGGCTATATTTAAGTATCTCTGGTACTTATTGGCTTAGAATCATCAAACTGATAGTTGATGCATCTTGGGTTTTCGGAGAATGTCAACCATAAGAAGGTCACAGTGACTACTTTTGAATATATGAGGTGCTTATTGGCTTAGAAATATCAGTCAATTAATGTATCTTGAGTCCTCAGAAAGTTTTAAATCAAAAAGGTGGTCACCATGACCTTCTTATGGTATTTTATAGCTATACTGCTTTCAGAAATATCTTCATTCCTAACTGGCTAAGAATCATCAAACTTTGTCAGTTCATGCATCTTAGGATACTTAGAGTTAGAGGCTTCAAATAGAAATGATAGACTGTACAATTTATCAGAAGAGTGATTCAAGGCCCTTGGGCCTCTTGTTTAAAATTACAGCAGGCAGATGGTTTTTCTGCAACTCTGCAAAGAAGTTGAAAGAACAGCAGGTCTATGATAGATCAAGTCAGGTTTAAAGCATCTCTTGTTTACATTTCATCTTGTAGGTATGATATCTTTAACTGGCAACCATCATTTGGTTAAGAAAATTTTATACATTTTACCGGTAGTTTTAAAATGTCATCACTTTTGTATATCTTCATATGAAGCTCTCCTTTGAAAGGAGATCAATCTAGTCTAAATATGGCAACAACCATGCAGCCCTCTAAAGGCTTTGGAGGAATTGTGGTCTAGGAGCTTTTGCTCATAGGATGATATGAAGCATTCTACCTGATGATTTAGTGCATGAAAACAATTTCCTTGAAGATAATATAAGTCTTATATTTATATGATAAAAGAAAACTTTCAAAAAACAAAATAAAAAGAAATGATAGATGTAGTAAGAATGAAGGGTTTATTATGAAAAGTTTATCATGATCCTGAACTTGAATTAGAATCATTTGTCTATAGACAAGAACCATGATACAGAAGCATAAGGTTATACATCTGATTCTTGCAGTTATTTTATTGTGGCTGATTGCTCAAGATGAGTTTGCTGATAATTACACATGTATGGTTATATGTATTGGTTGCTCTGCATATACTAAGGGGCTAAATGTTTGTGTGATGTTACGTTTAAAACCACGTGCTGTTGCCTGTCCAGAACATGTTCTTATAAAAGGGAAGCTTCTATGTTAGCAGCTTTTGCCTGGGTAACAGTTTGCCATTTCATGAATTCCACTAAGAAATCAAACATGAAAACTATATGTGGTCATTTAGCAAAATGTATTTAGTGTGTGGTGCTTATTCATAAATATGCCAACTACTCAGTACTCTTTGATCAGGTGATAGCCCTGAATTTTGAATATATTAACTTATCTTGTTTATATGTACAGTATTTGAATTTGATCTTTATTTTTTTTACAAGCAGTAACTTACAAGCTGAACACATCAATCGATTTCAGGTATTATTTCTATACCCTATTATCACCCTTTCTTTTTCCCTCAGCTCACAAGTTTCCCACCCTCCCCCTCCTCCTCCTCCTCAAAATAACAGTTATATTGTTGATTCTAATGTATAGACACAATTCTTTTTATGCCCATGGCTAGGAAGATCCTTGGGGTATATTGTTTTTTTTCCTGTCTGTCTGTTTCTCTGTCTGTATACAACTTACACCTAGCCCATAAGCTGTCATAGGGGTCATCAGAGTTTCACAAATACATCATGTTCTGTTATTATAAATATTTACACTTTTCACTGAGTTTGACATTAATGTTATTCAGACTAATTCTTTTTATTCAGACTACTAAAATTTATTGTTTATCATGTTAATTCAATTAAAATTCTAAGTAAAAATATGAATAAGTTTATATGAGCATGTTGACGTGTCTGATTCCATTTTTTCTGGATACCTGAATGTATTTATAGCTGTCGTGGGTCTTGGTGGGTAGGTAGGCTATCTCAGTCATTCATTGTTCAACATATTTGACAGCCATACTTTTGCAAGAATCACTGACTTTAACAGTTAAGTGTTTACTTTGACATTTAACCCTCTTTCAGGTACGGATGTACAGAATTGATAATAGATAAGAAAACTTTTCTAGTGGTCATAGGGATGGTGTAAGAGGCACTTATCTGAGTTAAAGCTGACATGAACTCTTAAAAAGGCACCATTTTTCATCTTTGTACGACTTACTACATTCCTGTACGCCTTTGTCCGCCCTATTTCTTCAATTCCGCCATATTTAATCGAAAAATTTTGGCCACCTGTACCTGCTATATATAGCCTTTTACAATTGTTTCACTTGAGTGATTTTCTAGCCAGGCTGTCGAAATGTACACATCTCCGATAGCATAATTGTCATAAATCCATAAACTGACCAAATACATGTTTTAAAAGTTAAAATGCAACAAAAATTAGAACTATACTGAGAAGTAAATTATTTTTGAATGCATTTGCAGCAATTTTGAAAAAATAACACGGAAAACAGCAGGAACCGTTTAGATATGCACACATGCAGGTCGAGAATACGCATCGAACGCAGTCATAAAGATATTTACCTGAATATTGCTATTGTTACAGGGATGCGCACATGTCGAAAGAAATATCCTATTTTACTTTTATTGAAATATGCATCTCAGAAGTTATGTAATCCATTGCTAACTGAACAGTAAAAAATTGTCACCACATAGCACTTGGACACACGTGGTCCACGACGCTCAGTCTTTTTGGTCAGGGGAAATCTAAAAAGGTGGAAAGCTTACTGGAAATTTGGCTGATTGAAAAAAAAATGCAAATATATATTTTTTTTTCAAAAATAAATATTACTCTTGTCTGTATATGTAAATGTAAACAAAATTTATAAACATGGCTTAACTACATTAAATTTATTCTATAGCATGCAACATTACGAATCATTCATCCTTTGACAAGATTCTCCCGTGAAAAGGGGGGGGGGTAATTAAAAAAAATGCATAACGCTCTCTGAAAAAGATCGGATTTCAATACGATCAAGTATTCCCATTATAAAAAAACTGTATACTGGCTTTATTTTTTTTTTTTAAATATAGACCTAATATAACTTGATTTAAACTTATTTTATAATTTCATCTACAATAAACGAGTTTGATTCTGTGGTATATGAATGATAAAAATAGAATTCATTGGCGGATCTAGAGGTGGGGTGGGGTTCCGGGAATTGGAACCCCCTTTATTTTTGTACACACATACAGAGAGAGAGAGAGAGAGAGAGAGAGAGAATCTAGAATATAGATATTTATACAGTGTTATACGTCTAATAATTTGAAGAAATAAAAAATCTCTGTCCTTTCTGTTCCCTAGATCTGTAGATTTTTGCGGATTTGCTTTCTTCCGTGTACCTTCAATCATTTTTCAATCATATATTTGAATCTCTTCAACATTTTACAAAAGTATACAGAGACCACAAAAATATATAGGTGATTTTATACATAACAGTAGATCTATAAAGCATGCGTGAATAAGAAACTAAACAAAAAAATTGTACCTTGTTATAAATGTGAAGTATGGGAATTTAGGCCGGGGGCATATTTTATTTT